GGCAGTGGAGGGTGAAAGTCCTCCAGGGTATGGATTTACAGTCCTGGGCAGTTGCGCGGAGGCTCTCCGTGTCTCCTGATGTAGCAACCAGCCACAGCCCCTCCCCTTCCATGGCAAGGCTGCCATCTCTCCAGGGGAACCCAGATCCCAGTACAGCCCCAAGTCCTTGCCTCCCTGGAGGACCATTTGGAATGGGCACTGAAAAGTCTAGAAAATCTGCAGTTGCCTCATCTCCTGGTTGCTTTATGACCTGCAAGTGAATTGAGCCATGTTTTCCAGCTGGGGGGCTGGAAGCTGCCTGGGGATTGGAGTGGGCAGGCTGGCAGATGGACCCTCCACGTCTGCAGGCAAGATTGCTTCATAGTCCCTGCTTCTGTTTCTGCCTCACACTGCAAAGCACACATTTAAAAAACTGTGGAGGCATTGAGCTGCAGGGGAGGTAACTGTGGCCTCATGGTCCCAAGCAGCCGTATGTCCCTCTAGATGTCCTTCCTTAACTCTGCATTTCAGTTTTCCTTTCCATTGGTAAATGTACAGGCATGGACTAAGCGACCCTTTCAGTTTTCAGTGTTTCTGATTTAAACTTTGCCTCCCACAAGGAGGAATGAGAGCCCAGATAGAAGTACCCTTTGCTTTTGGAACACACAGAACAGGGAAAGGAGGAACAACTGTCTGGTGAAGAACAGTTATCTCTCACAAGTTCCTTTCCTTCATCTCTACCCCCACTGATTGTGACAGGTCATATATTTAATTATGCAAGGTAAATTGAGAAATCATATCTCTCCAGTCCCATCTGGGATTATTTATTTCTCTGGATCTGCAGCCAGTCATAGTCCTGAGACTACAGTGTGAGGAGTAGCTTTCCATGAGAGGAGGTAGACTCAGGGTCATCTCTGGTGAAACCAGAGACATAAGTAGCTACAACGGAGCCCTTCTGCCAATGTGCCCCAAAGTTTCCACCTACCAGTCACTGTCTAGCTCCTGCAGGCTGGGCCGTTGATTTAGGATGGTGATGTCAGCTGGTGAGGAGATAGGAGAGTCCCTGACCCCCTTCTTCATCTGCAGGTGTGAGGCTGTGTGGCTGGGCAGGGTCAGGAGGAAACAGTTCTGAATTCCTTCTCACCCCCAGATTTAGAGCTCTCTGTGGGTCATGTTGCTGAGACAAAATGATAACAATAAAAGTCACGCAAACAATTTTCGAGGGTGGTTGGGCCACCATGTCAGGGGCTCATCTCCTTTAAGGTTCAATCTGCTTTGCAGTAAGGTGAGGCGGAGAGGAAGGCTAGGGAGCCTTCTCAGCATCCTCTGCCTCCAGTGACTGGTGGGACCCTGAGACCCTGGGCCAAAAGGCTCAACTGTGGCTGAGTCCCATGGGAGAAACCCTCCAGGACACACTCAACTTGGCGGAAGGCAGCAGGGCCAGGCTGGAGAAGCCGCGGGCCCATGTGCAGGAAGGAGACTGCTGAGATGTGGGGCTCTCTCAACCAGGTGGGACTCACTTGAGGAAATGGATGAACGAAACACTCTTCAGTCCTTTACCATTTCTATTTTACAAGAGGAGTCAAGAGAAAAGAAGAAAAAAAGCTACCATACTAAGAAAAGAAAACTGTTCCCTCCTGCTTTACTTGCTCAATTTTCCTGGCTTAACTTGCTAAAGGGAGGCTTCTCCTTGGGTGGGTCCTGAACAGTGCAGGACCAGGAAGGGTGCAAGGTGGGAGTGATTTTAGGGAACAGGAAGGGAGGAGCATGGGGAAAGACCCAAATTTCAGCTCCAGAGCCAGCTGGGAGAGAAGCAAACCCGTGCTGCCCCCACCCAGCTTCTCAAGCTGAGCCAGGCCCAAAGGTTTGTAATTTACAAGAGGGGGGTCTAATTGTGCTTTGTAACTTGGTGTCAGTTTACAAGCCAAAAGGACTTCAGTTTTCTTACTTAACATAACAGGTCTTCAGTCAGGGCCTGACCCCTTTTAAGAGAGAGACCTGGAACGCAGGGAGCTGGATTTCTTGTGCCCTCTTCTTTCACTTAAGCCTCTGAGGCTCCAGCAGTCAGAGCTTTCCTCAGGCTGCAGGCTCTCCCATGGCGTCAGGAGAGGGGTGTCTATGCCCTCCTTCAGGGGGAAGGTATTCTGTCCTCGCTATTACCCAGTCTTCATAGAAAGGAGTCCAGGAAAGGCTACTCATCCCATTGTGCAGATGAAGCAAGTGAGGCACAGAAAAATAACTGCTCAGCACAGGTGGCCAGGGGAACTCCCAAGCAGAGCCCAGGCTCTCTGACCCCTATTTCTTTTGAACACTTAATTTACTAATAGTTTGTGTAGCTACAGATTCTTTTTACAACCTGTTTAAAGGGCATTTTCCCCAGGAAGAAATGCACACAATTACATTCAGTAAGCCTCTGCTGGCCTCCCCTGGATAAACCTCTGCTGGCCTCCCCTGTCTGTCTGACCTCCCTGTCTGGGGGTGTGGTTCTCTGGACACATTGGGGCTGGAGGACTGAGCATAATTCTCTGTAGTCAGGACTACAGCTGCAAGTCCCCAAGAGCACAAGCGGGAGTGGAGAGGGAAGGAAGGTACCTGGAGAAGAAGGGTGTTTGGAGGGAGCAGTACCACTGTGCCGTGAGTCCCACCAAGGGTGGAGCCACAAGGGAGAAGAACAGACCAGAGCCCATCCCCGTGTAAATGCAGGACCCAGACATTCCTGGAACCCCTGGGGCACAGCCTTTCCTAAAAGGAGCCTCAGGAGGCCCAGCAGGGGACAGCCAACGCCCCCAACCAGCATCCACAGGCCACCCCATCCTTCCCCCGTCCTGGGTTGCTGGCATGCTTTACTGTACACAAATTCTGTTTCTTTTCTCCTTGTACACTTTTTAAAGCTCAAACTAGTTCCAGGGCTGCACGGCTCTCATAGTTTACTTTCAGTTTAGGAAACTGCTGCTGACACCCTTTTAGAACCTCTCCGATTCCCTCTCTAGATCCTCCCTTTCTTTCTTTGTAGTTTCCCAAAGGGAGCCAACCTTGAGTTTTGATTTTGTTAATATTAAAATTAAAGGTGAAGGGCTAATGATTTCACGTGCTCACTCCCACGCCAGGCTGTCGAAGCAACAAATGCCGCGGCGCGGATGGGGCTTAGGGCTTGCTTCCAGTCTCCCGCAGAAGCCCACGACGGCCTGTTTGCAAGGGGAGAAAGGTAGCTAGCGGGAGAGATGCCAAAACTTGGGAATGATTTAATAAAGAAGCATCAGGTCTTGTTACAGGAAGCCCTCTTTCTTTCCAAGTCCAGGTACTAAAGTCAGAGGGGACGAACGATTAGAAGCAAAATAAAATTTAAAAAATGAATTAAAAAGAAAACGGTGCCGGTAGCCTAGGGGCTCGACAAAGTTTCTGAGACTTCAGGGCAGAGGCAGATCCTCCCAGTCCAGGGCTCTCCCTGATTGTTTTGGGTTCCTCTTTGAGCTTAAACTTGGTCATGGCAAACCTGGGGATAGAAGCACATTTCTTCTGGAGTCAAGAATTTAAATACTTTGTCAGAGGTGAAAGTAGTGGGTTCTAAAGAGATAAGCACAGGAAGGCTAAAACTCTGTTATTAGATGGTGCCAAGCAGGAGGGAGCTGAGGTCTCAAGACCCCTTGTCTCTTCTCCGAGCAAGGTCTCAGGTCGCACCCTCTGAGGCCCCTGGAGCCACTAGAAAGTCCACGAGAGTCCATAGGGTCTGACCGATGAACCTTCTGCTTCCTTCCCTGGGCGTTGCCAGCAGCTCTGAGAGCCGCGCCACACACCTGAGCATGCAGAGCTGGCCACGGGGAGAACTTTCCACAGCTTCAAGGGCTGAGGTGGCCGCTTAGGGCAGGTAGCTTTGTTTCACAACAATTCCTTCACTGCCTTTGTCCCCCTCTTCTCTGAGCCACGTTAGCTTCTAACATCCACAGGGCAGAGAAAAGTAATGTTTGAGTCCATCCAGCGATTTCCTTCCTTTAGCAAACATTGATTGCAGACCTTCTATGTGCTCCATACAATGGCAGGCAATCCTAATCTGTGTCCTAAACTGATCCTATTTAAGAGGCCATGATTGTTTAAAAGCACAACTGGAAAAGCACTATATGTGTTTAAATTTAGCCCACAAAATAGAATATACAGCTGATTCAGGGGGCTAATACCTTCTTTTCGATTTACTGGAAATATAATTTTGTTTTAAATTTTTTGTGAGGGATTTTTGAGGGAGATAGAAGAAAATCCTGTGTAAATGCATTCATGTATACTAAAAAGCAGTTATGTTTATAATAAAGAGCCTTGTATGGCTAGAGTGAATTTATCGAACCTAAATTTCTTAATGCGATGCATTTCCATCCTCTCCAGAATTAACTATAACAGCTCAAGACTCAGCAAAGCCTAAGCGGCTTGTAGCTGATTTGGCCAGCTGCCTCACAAGCTGGGGAAAGTTAACAAGAAACTTCGAGGACGAGCTGCGCTGTCCGGAACGAGCTGCAGGTCATTTGCATGCGAAGCGCTGTGGTGCAAATTAAGCGCTGGTTTGTTCTAACAGGAGAAGGGAGGCTGTGTCGGGGCGCCCACTGCAGTGGCCTCCACTCTGCGCTCAGCTATGAGGCCACTGCCGAGTCGCAGAAACACTGGCGATGCTCATCACAGAGGCCAACGCTAGCCTTTCCGATCTTTGCCTCGTCATTTATTACCTTCTCTTGTGGGCAACGCGATTCGTAAGAGTGTGTCTGCGTGCTTCCTGGTCCGCGAGATAAAGCCTCCTTACCCCCACCCAGGCCAGTCCTACTTCAAGTTTAGCTCCTGCACGGAGACCCGGCTGCTACGAAGACTCTCACTCAGAGCGCAACCTGGAGGAAGAGGCAGCTGGAGGACGCCCGTCGGCGCGCCTCGCCCAATCAGCGCGCACACCGCCTGACGACAGGCCAATCAGAGGACACGGAGCTCGGCGGCCGGAGTGGTTAATACTAGGAAGCGAGCGACAGCTGTAGACTAGAGCTAGAGCGAGTGGCGCAGCACTGAGGACCGCAGCTGCGTGAATCTATCCCTGGAGCCCGCGGTCTGAGCCAGGCCAGCGATCTGAGACTGGACGGGCTGCCCGACCTTGCTGGCCGCATTTGGGTCTGAAGAAGCCTGAAGAGGCTTCCGTGCAGGGGGAAGCCCCAAGCTGCAGAGGGCCTATTGGAACTTTGCAGAGTTCGGGATGTGCGGAGCCTGGTTCCAGAGGACTTAACTCCTCTCCTCTCCCTTCGCTCCCCTTCAACCCCGCCGTACTAGGAGCTTCGGACCTCCAGCTGTCTGGTCTGATTTCGTGCCAAAGGGTGGCGATTCTATCCCGATTTCCGTGCGCATGCACGATTGGCAGCCTGAGAGCCAGATCCTAAAGCTGGGTGTCTTCCGACTCGGCTGCTAGTCCGGGTGTGAAAATTTCGGTGAGTGCTGTGGTGCGGCTGGGGTAGGGCTTTGGGAGGCAAAGGTCGGGACTCATTTTTCTTTCCTTTCTGCTATATTTGGGTGCCAGACCTGGAGGTGTAAGCCAAGCCCCGCGCTGAGCCCCAGCGGTCAGGTCTGAGCGCTGTACTGCTGAGCCGTGGACAGGACATCCGCTGTTTTCCGCCTGTCTCTCTGGTTCTCCAAGGACAGCGGAGCGTTGTCAGTGCATTGTCTGAGGGGGTGGGGGGGGAGTGAAGAGAAAGCCTCTTCATGGTCGCGGTCCTTAGGGTGGTGTAGGCCACGGGAAAGGCCTTTTCAAGCATGGAATGAGTGGTCTGGAAGATCCTTGGTCATCAAAAGAAAACATTCCCTCCACCGACATTTGTACATTTCTGATGTAGGTGGGCAGTGGGTAAGGGGACGCGTGACAAGTGGCCTCAGCCGGCCTAGTTGGACACAGTACTTTCTGAGGTCGGTGAGTCACCGAAGAGATTTGTCCTCAGAGCCGGGGTAAAGCCAGAGGGGGCTGCGGCTGAAGCTTAGGTGCTCACAGAACTCTTGGGATTAATAACATCCCTGTTGGGTGTGGACCCCCGGGTCCCTGAGAGATGCAAGGAAGGCATGTGTGGTGTGGGGACTCGAGGAAAGTGGGTGGCGGACCCGGCGTCCGAGGAGACGCAGGCGAGGTCCTGAGGGCTTGCGGTGGGGCTCTTTGTGTCTCCCCAGGGCGAGGGCCGCGCGGCTGAGGAGGCCGTGCTCGCTATGGCGGAGCGGCTCGCAGGCCCCGGGCCCGGGGACTGGGAGATTGACGTGGAGAGCCTGGAGCTGGAGGAGGACGGCTGCCGGGCGCCGCCGCTGGCCGATGGGGACGGCGAGGAAGACGAGGACGAAGAGGACGAGGAGGAGGACGCAGAGGAAGAGGCAGACCGGGAGGAGGCTGGCTCGCCCCCTGGGGCTCCTGGCGGGCGGGAGCAGCAGGGGCGACAGTCGCCCAGGCCTCCGGCCGTGCCCCGCGCCCCGTCAGCTACCGCCGGGCCCTCCGAGCGCGGAGCCAACGCGGGCGGCGGCCCGGAGCCCCGCAAACTCAGCCGCACGCCCAAGTGCGCGCGCTGCCGCAACCACGGCGTGGTGTCCTGCCTCAAGGGCCACAAGCGCTTCTGCCGCTGGCGGGACTGCCAGTGCGCCAACTGCCTGCTGGTGGTGGAGCGCCAGCGCGTCATGGCCGCGCAGGTGGCACTCCGCAGGCAGCAGGCCACCGAGGTGGGTCCGCGGGCCGGCGGCGGGGAGCAGGGCCGGGTGCGCACTTCCTAACCACGAAAGGTCAGCGAGCAGGGAGAGGCGCGGGCGGCAGCGCAGAACTGGGCCGAAGTTTCCAGACTAGAACGGGAGAGAGGGAGAAGGGCCGGGAAAGCAATGAGGCCTATTGGGAGCGCGAGAAAGGCGTCAGGGTCGATTCTGGTAGAGGTCGTGTCCGGGGTTAGCGCTGCACCGTGAGCAATGGCTACAAAAGGCGCAGGGCGCTTTCTGAGGTTCCGCTTCCTGGGCCTCTGGATCCCGCCGAACCTACTGCCCATTTTACAGATGAGACAGAAAGGCCGTGGGGAGTGAGGTGCCCACCACCTAAGAATCGGGGGAGGGTCAGGTTGCGAGGAGAGCCAGGACTCTCTGTAAGACAGAGGCTCATGAACCTACTTTCTGTGTTGCTGCACGTGGGGTGCCCCAGTGAGGCTTCCGGGAACTTCTTCCCAGGCTCCGCAAGGACAATATTTATGATTTAGTTTTTGCGGTGTGGAGGACACCTGTGACCTCTCTTACACTGGGAAGGTGCTCCACCCCTGAGGTGCAGCTCAGGCTGCCAGGAGTCTTGGTTCACACGGGGGTGTTTCTTTCTGTTTTTGAGGTGCTGGGGATGAAGGCTCTGGCCTCCTGCTCCATAGCCAAGCTCTACTTCTAACCTGGGGAGGACTTTCGACTGTATTGTTTTGGCGGAGCGGGGCTGGGGAATGCACTATTACTGCCAACACAGCAAAGTCAAGGACTTCAGGGAACACAGTCCCCCCACCCCAGCCCAGGACAGCGCAGGACCCCAAAGTGGCCCGAGTCTGGGGTTCATCCTCCCTCTCGGTTGATCGCTGGTCCTGGGTTCGCAGCAGCCTGCTGGGTTGGTGGTTGCCGCGGGGAAGAGAGGTTCTGAGTTCCTGGCTGGCACCTAGGGTAGAGGTTTGATCATCCAGCACCCTAGTCCTCAGGGAAAGGAACAAACGGGTTTGCCCCTTGGACCCCGAGCCTCTCATTGTACCACTCACCCCCTCAAGCCCTCATCCTTGCCCGCAGAGACCCCATTCTAGTTGTGTCCAAGCACAAGCTGTGGGGCTTTCAGCCCCCTGGGTGGGGCCCCAGGCGCAGTTGTCACCAGAATCCTCTCCAAGGGTTCCTCTCTAGGGCTCATTGCTTCTGTCCACAGGAGTCGCAATGGCTGATGGTCTTCTGGGGTGATCTTTTGCTAGGAAGAGGAGGGGGCGTTCACCATTTGCCAGCTCTGGAGGGAGCTTCCATTTCTTGCTCTGGGACAAGGGATGCTGACCTTAATTTGGGAATTTTGTTTTTCTTTGGCACAGGGATTGAACTGTGGGCCTTCGCACCGAAAGAGCAACTTTTTGTTTCATTTTATTTTTTCTTTTGTGGCAGGGCCTCCAGAAATCGCTAAATTATCCAGGCTGGGCTCTAATTTGCAATCCTTCTGCCTCAGCCTTCCAGATGGCTGTGGTCCGATAGCTGTTTAGAGTCACTTTTCACACAGGATAACAAAATACATACGTCTAGGCTTGGCCCCTATTTTGCCCTTCCCTGTTATACTGCCTTCCAAGGAATTATTAATTATGTTTCTTGTGTTTCTAGGACAAGAAAGGGCTTTCTGGGAAGCAGAATAATTTCGAGCGCAAAGCACTGTACCAGAGGCAAGTCAGGGCGCCCAGTCTGCTGGCCAAAAGCATTTTAGAAGGTAAAGCAACACCAAGTGGTCTTCTAACTTTTAAAATTGAGTTGAGTGACTCCTTATTCAGTCACATGATGGATTTATGAATGTGTGAGCAGAAGATACTTTTATGAGGCTCCCAGAAAACGAATCTCATTTATTGGGTTTCCACAACCATCAGTTTAAGGATACCAATGCTTGTCATTTGCTTCATAGTTCAGAGTTAAGATGAGGTACATGTGAAATTTGCAACAAAGTGGACAAAAGATACACTGCCAAGTGATTCTGGAGCAGATATGGAAGGAAGGAAATTGATGAGCAAGCACACACGCTCTCACTGGTAGCTGCAGCCAAGTGGATGCCCTGAGTGCGGAGGCCAGAGGGCTTCACCAGCAGGCGCTCTGGTCTATGGCTTCAGCCCCAGGTTCACCTCGTTTTGCTAGCATTTTCCTCCCCAAATAGCTGGATGGTTGCTGTGATTCCACACGTCATTTTTGAGCAGTTTGGATAGCTAAGGTAGAATCTGAAAAAGGATTTGAACTAAATAAGCAAAGAGGAGGCTGAATTTGAGCACTGTGAATTCTCTGGCTTTCCCTAGATTTTTACTTTCTCTAAAGCATGGAGTGCTTGAAGCTTCATAAAATATTGCTGATTTTCTAAAGCATCTCTATTTGGGCAATTTATTTCTTGATTTGATAGGTAACATACTGACTATACCATTTTTCATTAACATATTAGAGTTTTTCTTAAATGCAACTAAAACAGACTTTATATATTTTTTTAAAGCCCCGCCACATCATAAAGTTCAGATGCTAGTTTCTTTTTTCTTAAATCAGATATTTGGGTTCTTTTTTTTTTCTAGCATAACTTCTGAATTTAGTGACAGGAATTTTTTAAAATATTTTATGCAGGGTCTCACTATGGTGACAGTTTTGAAGTTTGTTTGTGTCTCACTCTGTGTTGTGCATTTCTGACCTTAGAGTAGGCTCTCCCAAGTTAAAAATGTATTTGGTAAACAGATCTATAACTATAGGGGCCACCTTGATAAACTGAAATTTTGCCAAAGAAACTTGAGAAGCTCTTGAACTAAATAGAATAGTAAATTGAAGTGAATAACTTCCTGGCAAATACATACCGTAGAAATAGAAACATTCATTTTCAAATTTTATTTTACTTGCAAATGAGTAGGATGGGCTTGTCACTGTGTAAACACAAATATCACAATGGATCCTTCAAACGAATTTGGTAGTGGTGAGTGTTTTGGAATGATGAAATGCCCAAAGTATTTGATGCCATTAGGAATTCTATTTATGTTACACTAATCTTTGTTTTTGACTTTGTCTCTATTCATGAAATGTGGGGTGACTTAGTCTGGGTTCTAATTATGACTTGTCCAACCATTTTGGCATCTGTCCAACATAATTGTCGTTTGGGAAAAATGCTTTCAACCTGTTATTTTCAATACAGCAAGAAATTAACCACCGTCCCCCCATATTTTGTTTTGTTTTGCTTTATTTATGCTGGTAGTCAGGGGGAAGGCCTCGCTAAATCATTTGCTGCAGAGCATTTGACTAGTTAACAGCTCTTTTCAATTTTCTATGCTTCTCTGTTTCCTTAAATCTTTTTTTCTTTTTCTCTTAACTAATCTCCTGTAACTTCTTTCTCTTTTTTCCTAGTTCTCCTTGGATTATTCTACAACTGTAACAATGTGTACATAATGAACCATCTTTAGAAAATAAAAGTGACATCAGCTCTAGGTATAGATATCTTTTTTTAATAATGAAAAGATGACATGGACAATAAAATGTTTATTGAAACAAGATGGGTAGTTTTGTCTCCTAATAACTAGAGACTTGGGAAGAACAATAAAATCTCAGTTGATAAAGTGCATTTGTTATAACAAGAGAGCAAGCAAACCTGTATCAATAAAACTGCAACAAAATGTTACAGTAGGAATTATTTTATATTGAATCTATACTTTTGCTTCCTGCATAAAAGTCTTAGTAATATAGAACTATAATCATTCATCCTGCCAATTTTTCTTGTTTCTTTTGTTTTCTGAATTTCTAGATATTTCTTCCCTAGATTTAATTTCTTTCCTGTGCAATGTTTGCTTATTTTAGGCTATCGCCCCATGACAGCGGAGACTTACCTAGGAGGAAACCTACCTCTACCTCCCCCAGTTAGTGACAGGATGAGAAAAAGAAGGGCCTTTGCTGACAAAGAGCTGGAGAACATTATGCTGGAGAGAGAGTACAAAGAGAGAGAGATGCTGGAAACTTCCCAAGCTGCTGCCATGTTCCTGCCCAACCGCCTAGTGCCCGGACCTGAGTACAGCTCCTACAAAGGTGCCTACAGCCCCACGCCAGTGGAGCTGCCGAGTAAGGACTTCTGCAATTTTTTGCCTACCTGCCTTGATCTCACCATGCAGTATTCAGGATCTGGGAATATGGAACTGATTTCCTCCAATGTTAGTGTGGCTGCAACGTACCGACAATATCCTTTGTCCTCAAGATTTTTAGTTTGGCCCAAGTGCGGCCCTATTAGTGACACCCTTCTCTACCAACAATGCCTTCTAAATGCCACCACCTCAGTTCAAGCCCTGAAACCTGTGGGCAGCTGGGACTTGAAGGGAACAAGGGTCTCGGATGGGCTCAGCGCAGAACACAACATGATGCCACCCAAACTGGAAAACTCTCTGGTGCTGCCTCACCCTCTGGAGGTCCAGACCTCAAGGAGTGACTTTCAGGGTCACCAAGCCATTCCTGAAAGATCTGCCTTCTCCCCTCCCCAACAGAATTTCTCTCCCGCTGTTGACACGGACTCCCTGGCAGCTCAAGGGCATGTCTTAACCAAGATCAGCAAAGAAAACATGAGGCACCCTCTACCACTTAAGAATAATCCATTCCACTCATTATTCCAGCAAACGCTTAGTGACAAACCAGGTCCTGAGCTGAAAATACCATTTGTCAAAGAGGCTTTTGAAGAGACCCCAAAGAAACACAGAGAGTGTTTGGTCAAGGAGAACCAGAAATATACATTTACAATAGATAGGTGTGCAAAAGACCTGTTTGTAGCCAAGCAAGTTGGAACAAAACTCTCCGTGAATGAACCACTGTCATTTTCAGTTGAGTCTATTCTTAAGAGGCCCTCATCTGCCATCACTCACGTCTCCCAGTGAAAGGCTGCTTAAATGGAAAGGTGGATTTTTCTGCCGTCTCAGATGGTTCTTGCCATACATTTGCTGTTTTTTTTTTTAAAGTTAAAATGTTTGTATAAAGAAAATTTTAATGTAAACAATGATGATTTCTAAAAATTCTATATATTCATATGCATGTTCCTTTTCTTATCACATAAATATATTTAAACTTAAGATGGAAATTGCTTAATGTGCAAGCTGTAGAGTTCTATGTCTGATATAGCATTTCAGAAAGAAATAAAACTGACACTGTCTTCTAAAGGATCCGGTGTTTGCTAAGCAAGTAGCTGTCCCTGGCTAGATTAGAAAGGTGGTATCTGTGAAACATGCCCTTTATTTTTCTATATTTCTGTGTAGTTTTAAGTGCTGCTAATATTTGTTAGGACTTCAGGAAAAGTCTTGTAATATCTTAACTTTGCTGTCTTAACCCCCTCTGTGCCTGCTACACAGGCACTGTCCCCGAGCACTGCCCCTATCCCCAGATCTAGTTTTGCTTCTGGAAGGGCATATAAACTCAGATGCTCAAGACTGAGGTAAAAATAGCTTAAGGAGACTAGGAAGGCTGTTTGCCTATCATGGGATCAATTTCATGTTGCTGGGCAAAGTTGGAATAATTTGCAGGGGAATCAAGTATAGCATCTCATTTATATGATGATGTTGGCTTTCAGAATGATTTTCTTTTAACTCCCTGGGCCCAGTTTCCTACTGCCTTCGAGCTGTGCAGGGGGTTCTCAAGCCTCTGTTTCAGGACAGGAACACCCCTTTGAAGATTTTTAGCTCCTTTGAACAGTCCATGATTTGGGGTTGCTGAGTGGGTCACAAAGCAACCTCCCTTGAAGGGTGCAGTCTGTTGGCTCATGGTGACGGCAAGCACCCTCTGGCTTCACGGAGGGGGCTGCTCGGGAAGGACTGGTATCAGCCGGCTCTCAGATGCAGGCCCAGCCAGCAAGCTCAGCTATATGCCTCTCACCCTCACACCAGCGTCACAGGCTCTCTTCTCAGATGACAACGTTTACTGTTCAACTGTTCAGATCTCTTCCGTGGACAGTTGCTGACGCCTGCAGATGTTTGTCTCCACATGAGGGTGGCTTTGGGAGTCTTATATCTTCTCTCCCTTGCTAAGTTCCTTGGTTTGCTCAGTGGAATGTTAACTCTTGCTGCTTACACTTAATGAAGTCAGAGCGAGATATTTATAAAAGTATTAAATTCATCTCTTAAGAGCTGAGCTGTGAGTCCCACATCAGGTCAGGTTCTAAGATGTCGAAATCTTGAACCAAGTGCTGCCCTGGGGTGAGGGCGTGTGACAAGGACACCAAGAGATGTGTAGAATGTGCCAAGGGATTCTGCTGCTTAGAGACACTCTGTCCTGTTCTTCAAAACACTGAAAGTTATTTAAAAATGATTTTGCTATTGATGAGTTCATGTAAACCTCTAGGGGTTTTCTAAATTGTTGCTTAAAATTAATATCAATTTCAAAAAGCAACAAGCCAAAACTTGGGTTGGTTTTTGTAAAGTAATACTTGGTTTTGGTGAGTCAAATTTACTCAGTTTCATTATTACAAAAGCCTGGATGAATGGAAATTTGCCAGGCGAAGAAAATGAAAGCAGGCAGAGATTTTAACAAATGTTGAAGAATATCATTAGTGAGCAAAGTTTCCCAGCCAGTATGCCCTAGTATGAGAGACAGAATCTCAGTCACTTTTTCTCCCTGTCACCTCTGCTTTAGCTGTTCAGTCACTAGTTTTTAATCTCCTTATAACAAATTTATTATTTTTATGTTGTGTTAAATGGAAACCAATCTTGAATTACACTGCTTCAGAAGTATTGAGGGGAAACATGTTAGAATAAAGTCACCTCGTATCCCAAAGAGAAGGCCTTCTTAATCCAAATGTGTATTTTCTATTCATTTCATTATTGTGTTTTTCAATACTTATGTTTATTAATTTCTATCCTCTTCTGTATACAAAGAACACATCAGGACTTCTGTTTGGTTCTGTCTCTGTATCACTTTAATCCCATTAAGTGAATCCAGGTGGCTGTGGATATTAGTGGTTTTTCTCACATTACTAGTGACAAGAATTTTATTTTTCTTAAATATTTATGAGGGTCAGTATTTTCCCTGGCAAATTTATTGATATGCTATGGATTAGTTCTGCTGTAATCATGAGTTCTTTGAATGTAAATCTAACAAGTCTGTGATCAGTCACTTAATAAGAGCTTTGTACTTAGTTCTTGGCTTTCTAAAAAATCATTTTAACTCTATGAAAGCTATTATAGTCTTCAAAGAATAGTCTTAACACATTTGATTTAAGAATTTTCTTTGTTTAAGGCAATCAGTGGATTGGGCCTTAAAATAGTTTTTGAGAATATAAAAGTAGTAAAACAGGCACCTTTTCCTTAAACTCACAATACAATAATGCCTTGTTTTCTGTCTATTTCAACCAATCAAGTGTTACTTATTGCCCTGCTTGCAGTTATCAAAATTTTATGACAATGCTTCACAAGTTTTGTGGAACAGTTGAGTCTCCTGAACTTTTTTTTTTTTTTTTTGGTGCAATTAGTCCAGGGTTCACAGGGTCTCAGAACACAGATCGGACTCATAGTGATCCTCCTGTTTTCAGCCTCCCAAGTGCTGGGATTACAGGGGTGCGCCACCGTGCCCAGTCTCAATCACCAGCTCAGTGACCCTGGGAGCAGGGCCAGCACTCTCCTGGACTCTCTACAAAGTGCAGATTCTGGTTCTGTAGGTCTGGGCTGGCCTGGTTCTGCAATTCTGCCACACTCTCAGAAGCTGATGCCGCTGCTATTCAGACCATACTTTGAGTAGCAAAAGTTTCTTTGATAATTTGTAAAATTACTTTATTGTTTTAAATTCACATTTACTATAATCCGCTATTAATTTTAGTTTCCAATGTAGTAATGACATTACTAGCATGAATAATATATATGTGAATGTTAAAAAAAATTTCAATTTCTTCCTGTGGTTTGGTGGACAAAACTTAGGAAAAGCCAGTACACACAAAATTTGCAGCCCTTCTCTGTTTTTTTTCCAAAATGTGGAAGTTATTTCAATTTGATTAAAATATAGTATGTATATTTAATATTGATTTATTTATATCTAGCTTTTGTAGTCTTGGGGATTGATCCCAGGGCCTTAGCACAGAGCTATTCTTTTTATTTCTTGTTTTGAGACAGATTGTTACTCAGTCACTCAGTTGCTCAGGCAAGGCTTGAGCTTGCAGTCCTCTGGCCTTAAGTTTCCAGTATGCTGGGATGACAGGAGTGGGACATCATTCCACGTTTATACTTAATTGTTAAATGTGGAGAAATAATGTAACAGAATTGACCATCCTGACCATGTTTAAGTATACAGCTCAGTGTTTTTAAAATGCTTTCACATCGTGGTGCCGTCATCACCATCATCCGTCTTCAGAGTTCCTTTTCTCACGTCAAGTGAGATTCCATATCTGTGAGTAACAGTTCTTTCCACCAGGCCCCTGGCAACCTTCACGGTACTTTCTGTCTCTATGCATTTGACTGTCCTAATAGTACGGACAGCTAAGTTAGGTAGAAATATTATAGGCAGTCAGACAGAGCTAGACCCGGGAGGGAGTCCGTGAGGAGGATGAGAACACATTACAACTTGGCTGGAGGTGCATCTACTGAAGGCCAGGCCTCAAGATAAAGGTGGCATGATCAGGCCTCCCTGCCTCCCTGACGGATGAGCAATATACTAAAGTGGTATCACTTGGTCCAATAAAGTCTAAACAGATGTCAGGCACCCAGGTGAGTGCCCAGGACCCCCTGGCTTATTTCCTCCAAATAGGTCCCCATTCTTTCCACGTACACTTGTTATCTGACTCCCTTCCCCACCGAACCGACATTACCGAAGTGACTATATTTGCAATCTGATTGGCTGATCATAGTTTGTCCCACACTGTACCCACCTCATGCCTTTGTATCTACCTTGTGATTTTGCTCTAAAAACTTCCTGTGGGAAGTGGGCTCTCTCCTATCTTTTAGGAGCTGTTTCTCTCTCAATAAAACTTCCTCCTTTTAACCTCCATTGTTCCTTAGAATTTATTCTTTGATTTTGGAGAACACAAACTTGGTAATATTTCCCTTATATCATTTGGAGGTCCTATATCACTAAGAACTTGAGATAAGTGGAGTCATGTATTTATCTCTTTTTCACTGGATTATTTCACTTGGCAGGATTTCCTCATGGTTTACTTATGCTGTAATGTGTGTCAGATTTTTCCTTTCCTAAAGGCTGAATAATATGAGGGTGATGCCTGCAGTGATGTAGCAAATTGCCATTAGGCCGCACCTCTGAAAGTCTCCGCTGTCTCCGTGCCTCCACACTGGGGACCACATTCCCGACACATGAACACGTGAGGAACAAACTCGAGCCCTATCTAAACCCTAATGGCGTGTGCGGATCTCCGTGAAACCCCGCTGTGGGCCTGTTGGAGTGCGCGCGGCATCTTCTCTTCCCCGGGTCCTCGCCTCCGCGTTTCCCTGATTCGCGATTCTAAGAACTGAGCATCCCAACTCGGCCTCTGCCCAGAGACACGCATCGCTCTCCCCAGCGCGCGTTGCCTCCTCTTAACACTGCTGGCACCCCTGGAGTGTCTGACATTAGCTGTGCAACTTTCAGTGGGAGTTTGTGCGTTATCAGATCCTCAGCACTTAAAAGCTTAATTCTAACTCATTAATAAAAGACTGTAACTGACATCAAGAAATGTTTCAGAGTGGGGAGTATGCTCAGCGGTACAAGTCCCTGCCTGGCAAGCACAAGGTTCTGAGTTCGATTCCTGGCACAAAAAAACTTTTTTAAAATGCTTGCCTGTCAAGCACAAGGTCCTGAGTCCAATCTCTGGGTCCGCAAAAAAAAAAAAAAAAAAAAAAAAAAAAAAAAAAAAATGCTTCAGAATTCTATAGGCATTTTCTTAGAAGAGCTGAATAGAAAAGAAATGGCTACATGGCTGCAGGTCAAGATGAAAAGCTATGGAGAGTTCACAATT